AAGAAGATCTGTTCAAACAGCAACTTTCTGCGTTGAATATTAACCGAGACATCGTCCTTTAAAAAGTCGAGTTTTTGACGTCATCCACCGCGGTAGTTCATGACATGGTACGTACTACCGCAGTGGATGACGTCATACATCGAATTTTTCAAGGCACGATATCTCAGTTAATATTCAACGTAGAAATTTGCTGTTTGGACAGATCTTATTATTTTTAGTTGATCTGCAAGAAGAAAGTATCAATACACGATTCTGTGACGAGCGCAACTGACCCATTGACGCAAACAATACAATTTTTTACGAGAATGTAACCGTGCAATTTGTGTCCAGCATTTTCTCTGATTCTTGCATGAGATCAGAAGAAAAATCAGTGAAATTTTCAGTTAGAAACACCCAAGATTCTTCAGGGAAAAATTTAATTTGCGAAGGAAGATTTGGCAGCTTTGAAAAGTAGTTACGTTCTTTCGTGGGGGAATGGCAAACTATTCGCGAAAAGGAGAGAAGACTGTAATGGAGAATTAATGGCTCAAAAATCGCTTCTCATAAAATTTTTCGCTTCTAGAAAATTCAAATTCCTTGATCATGAGGACAGGATCGTCATTCCAACCTAATATAAGGAGCCATTATGAGTGCGTAAAAATAAGTAATTTTTTTCTTAGACCAAAAGTAAATAAATCATTATTCGGATCAATTTTGCAACCTTGGAATGGAGTAAAATTGAGTTCCTCTATCAGGAAAAAGACGCTTTTCTATACCTATTTCACAGGGCCTTTGGTGCCTTTAAATTTGGCAGCCTGGAACTCGAGCTTGCCTCACTTTTCCGGGCTTCGTGATGCAATCGCGGTACTTTTGACAAGTTCATTTCGGCTCGCTGAATATCTCAATGTACCTGTCTCCCTTTGTCAAATCCACGCTACCACTGCAACTTTCGCCCGGATTACGCTATCCGGCCAACAATCTAGCCAGGGATTATCGTCCGATTAGTCCAAACAAAATATGTCTTTAAGGATCAAAGTTCACTGCAGTTAAATTGGACTGCTCTCCGATGTGTTCAATTTGCTCAACTCAATTCAACTCGAATCGAAAACGAGACTGGTTGGGTAAATACGATGCGAGAGACAGAGTATATGCGGTTTTCTGGGAATTTCAATAACTGCATCCAGAAAATAAATTGTTGCTGCAGAATTAATAATTTGGGACATCGATTACTTTTCCGGGACAGCATTAATTTTTAAAAATTATTTTTGAAGCTCGGGGTGGGAATGGTGAAGGGAGGGGGGATATGGGCAGAAGGGAGCTGTAAAATTACATTTTAATCCTACAATTTCGATCTCGGAACAATATTTGGGAACCAAATTTTACAAAAAGGAAAGTTACACTTTTTCTGGCTCTTGACTAAAATCACGAGTATGCTCAGTGAAACTAATGGGACTAATGGAAATGGCTCGTCGCAAAGGTATCTCATTCCTATTTATCATGATTGGTTCACCAAACACATGAGCGCATCTGGCGCAGGCTAGTATTCGCATCAGACCGTTCATCAGATCTCTCGGCAGATAGTCAAAATTTGGCACTTTACGAATTTTGTACTTTTTGACGAAGAACACCGGAGTTTTCAACTCCTTTAGAGTAAAAGTTCATCAAGTTTAAGAACTTTTCTCGTACCTATTTCGCTCTCCAAATGCTCTTCATGTATTCTGACTGTTAGAATTTTAAAAATTGTATATTTTACGACATGGCCTGGAATCCAGAGATAAATGCTCTCTTCAGGACTACAGCTAATTGCGTGATGCCAAATTTTACAGAACAGAATTCTTCTTTATGATAACACATCGTTGTTTTATCCAAAGTTGGTCAAGGAATTCAGAATTTCAATCAAAGTAAGAATATTTGGACCGCGTTAAGCAGAAGGAACTAACAATAAGTCACACCAGCTATTGTAAAATTCAATTGGGCAATTTTAGTTTTTACGAAAAAGGTTGTGCGGATTTCTTGGCTACAGCGAATTTTTGGCACAGTGCAAAGCAAATTCCTTAAAAAAAGTTTTTAAAAAATGTGCACGAACGTTCTCACGTAAGATACCTATTAAATTGCTCTGTTAAATTTGTAAACAGCTAATATGGCTTTGTTTCTCCCTGCTAAACGCGGTCCATTTGCAAAGGTATTAAAGAAAATGCCCGATTTGACTGTTTGCCGGTGACACGTTTAAATATATAAAACAAAAAATAGGAGCCAGTATATCAAATACGGTTATAAAACACTGAAAACAGTTTCTTTTTGATTTTCTGAGTTTTAAGGGAATTCATCCCGCGATTGCCGCAGGTCTATCATAAACGGGCGTCCTTTGCGACTCTTAATAGTGGGGAAAACAAGGATGACTGACTTAATACCTGCACAAGCGAGCGCTTTGGGATCAAAGAGTCTATCATTATCCTCCACCATTCCACTTTATTCATTACCTCCTTTGTGCATGTAATGTTAATCCGAGTTAAATGCAGCGTTCCGGGTATCAAAAAGGTATTAGCTCCTGATAGTGGCCGAGTTTTTTCAAGCAGTGACGCCCTTTGACGCATTGATAATGTGAAGAGGTTTAGAAAAGAGCAAAGCGCATGTTACAAGATTTTTGCACTCGAAAGTGATTTGAGAAGTATACAATGATAACGTGGAAAAATAATGAAAAAGTGTAAGTTCCCGGTTGGAAAACAACTTTTAGAATTGGATTTTTTCAAGTAAGTGACTCTTCAGTCTTTAAGAAAATATTACAATGGAATTTTCAGAGGAATCACATCGTCGCCTCTTCCACGAAAGCATCACTTGACACACAAACACTGGATTTTATGATTCTCATCTCAGAGACGGATTCAATTCAGAGAATCTTTGCACGTTTATGGACAGTTGTATCCGTCGCACTCATTAGACGTTGCGCGGCTTCCATAGGATTGCGCAAAAACGAAAAAATGGCCCCTTCTCGAAAGTCCAGGATTGCGAAAATGCAAATGGGTCAAAGATTTTTGACGCAAATCCTTACATTTCTTTTCGCGCAATCCTTACATTCCTTTTCGCGCAATCCTTATATTTCTTTTCGCGCAATCCTTACATTCCTTTTCGCACAATCCTTACATTTCTTTGCCCGCAATCCTTTACTTTTTTTGTGCGCAATCCTGGATCACCCAGTTGCAAGTGATAAAATAATGGCGGGTATCATAACAAATGATATGAGAGAAGCACAATCAAGGCTAAGGGAAGTATCGGCAGTCAGCGAGGATGCGATAAAGAATTCCAGCTAATCACGAGTTCGCCACAAATATATTTGCATCAGTCGCAGTATTTTTCGACCCCCGCAAAACTCAGAGAAGTTTGAAACGGGACTGCAATTTAATTACCTAGGTACTTAAATGAATTGTTAAAGGCGGAAGGGTAGAAAATTATCATGACTATTGATTTTACGGGGCGTTTGCAGACTAGACGGGAGAAAATTCCCAAGAAATGAAGTGAAGTTTACCGAGTATGTTTCGGTTTGAAAAATAAGTTATGACAGGAATTCTACTGCGAGGCAAATCTTGATACACGTTTGTGCATAGTTTCATCGACGCATTGCCGTAACTTTTTACTTTTTCCAAATGCACGGAGAGAGTGAATTTGGAAAAGTTGATACAAGCTCGATCCTAGAAGCTTAAAAATTAAAGGGATACTATCGATGGTCGACGTGCAAAACCACATATCTCCGTTTGCAACTTTGCGGACTTCCTGTCGTGCCATTTTCTTCTTTGGAAAGCTGTATGTAATTTCTTGAAAACTTCCTTAGTCATTCCTCTCTGATAGGAAAATATCTTGTACGAATTTAAAGCTAAAATTTGGCTTGTTTCTCTTCAATGAAATAAAACAGGACCGGCATTTTCGGAATATAGTCATGGAGATACGTGGTTTTGTGCTTTAGCCATCAATTTGAATCCTGCAGTTCAATGTTAAAAATTCATTGGTCGTAGAAAAACGTGATTGAAGGTTTTGAAAGATGCGAAAGACAATTTTCTTCCGGAGGTTTCGTCGCTTTTCGCACAAAGTAACGTAACTGCATTCCAAGGTTGCAAAATTGACTCAAACATTTCAATTTAAAACAGGATTAAACTTGCATAATTTTCGTCGAAAATTTGTCTGATTAATGCATGAGATCAGAGGAAAAATTGGTGGAATTTTCAGTCAGAAATCCTCAAAAATTCTCCTGGTAAAACTGCAGTATTCGCGGAAAAATCTGGCAGCATCGAAATGTAGTTACGTTCTTTTGTGAGAAAAACGACGAATTGTACACCTAAGACCACTGACTTTTGTAAAATCCACTAATCAACAATAATAACAAATACCACTAAAAATGTAGCCCAAACAATGTGTAACAAGGTGGGTGTATAGTGCTAAATCCACACTGTTCTCCAGGGAAATGAAGGCTCAAAAATTTCAATCAGAGTCTAATTAGAGCTCAAAATTTTGTCTCTGATTGAAATTTCAGGAATAACATGGCAGTGATTTTCCCGTAGAATAGTATGTAGGTACCCAAGACAATTCAAACACCTTGTTATTTATTTACCTATGCATTAAATAAGATGAATTAGTGACAGGGCAGAATAATGGCACTGTTGCCAATATTTTTCATGCCTGAAAGTAGCCGGCAATGCAAGCGACAGTTCCAGTTGCTTGAGCCGTGTTCAGGCGAACATCCACAGGAAATGAGGGCTTTCAAGAAGGCGAAATTGTGCCACTGCACTGATTAGACGAGACGCAAGACGGCCGACAGGGGCGATCGGTCGGTGGGAACACTGCCAACTCGTTTTTTACCCACACGACAGCGTGCATTGTCCCGGCCGAAGACCGCACGAAAGGAAATGCACTAAAACCCGAGTGCTTAATTAGTCTGCGATAGCCGGGCAACGAGCCGTTCCACCGGTCGAGGGGAAACGGAATGAATTAAAAAAATCATGCACGGAAGTCCTCAAGATTTACTTTCTTACCTTGCACTGAAGACAGGAGGAAGCAGGTGGCAGCGAGACACCATCGGAGCGCCGAATGCATCTTCCTAGGAACACTCCACCCCTCGCAAGACAATCCAACCGCCAGGAACGCGACACCTGACACCCTGGAAAACATCAAATTCGCACAGGTGAAACCTCGTTCATGACGAAACCCCCGGGAAACAACTCAAAACACCAAGAGTATAAATAAACATTCACAGCATAACACTTGAGCAAAAACACTTGGGTCCCCAACGGGACACCTCACAAACTTGTCATCCGATCAACGGAATGAATTCACACATCGGTCTTATTAATTAAACACGCGAAATAGTCGAGATAAAGCTTGGATTGAGGAAGGAGTAGCACAATTTATCACCGAGAGAGTGTCCGCGCAAAGGCCGGGATGTCGTGTTTCGCGATCAAAACAAAACTTCGACGAACACGCGATGGAGGAGGAAAGCCGGGCGCGACACGCATCCGCGGAGCATCGAATCAAACTAACGAAGATGCAACTTGCAACCCTTCTCATCGCGCAGACGGCGGCTTAGTTAGGCGCGCGGCCGCCGCCGGCGCTAGCGCTGCTCCGCGACACCGTTCCCCGGTTTGAGGTGTAGAGTGCGCGCTCAGGAGTCCTACAGGACCTAGGATGGTCGGTTGCGCGGTTCCTTCTTAACTCCTTTTGGGTTTGAAGTATTAATCACTGGAAAAAAAATAACACATTGGATCTAGAGTCCAGACTTTTGAAAACATTGACAAGAAAAAATACTCTTGATTTAATCGAATTTTTGCTTGCATCAAAACGAAATCCGCTCAAATTAAGAGGCTTACTTCTTGATTTAAGCTAGATTCTGATTGAATCAAGAGTACGTTTTCTTGTCGATGTTTTTAAGAGTCTGGACTCTATATCCAATATGTGTTTTTTTTCCCAGTGATTGATTGGTTTCTGATGATTCAACTCAACCTACATGAAGTTACTGCAGATATCTGAAATGTTCAACAAAATGAGCAAAAATGACTTTTTGAGGGCGAAATTCCTCGCATTCAGCAAAAAGGAACCAGCGCTATCATAGTGTTGTTAAAATGTTGCTTCTACATGATTATCTAGAAAATCTTCGAGAGTATCGCATAATTTTGGCTTCATATCAAAAAATTGTTAATTTCAAGGAAAATAATTGTGTAATTTATAACACTGTACATAAAATGAGTATTATTAAAAGAAAAATTTGAAGTTGCACAATTTTGAGAATAATGTAATAGCGCTGGTTCCCTTTTGCTAAATGCGATCCAAATGATTTCCGAAATAACTGCATGAGAGTTACGAGAAAACTCCGCCGGTGCGGGTTTTTTTAAAGATGAAAATCGCCTCTTTAGACTCCTCTTTAGCCCGTGACTGATGTCACGGTCTCTTAATAAATAACAAAATAAAAACGTGTAAATATTTATTCAACCATTATGTTCACCAAATGTCGCCGATTTTTAAACTTACAAGACGTTTCAGGAAGGTTCAGAGATACTACTACTACTACTACTACGGAGGAACTACTATTTCTGCTTCATCCATAAAATCACCTATCTGCATGAGGAAGGTATGTTGCCTAAAAAATGAGCTAGAAAAATGAGTTCCTCTTGCAGTGGCGTGGCGTGCTTTGCGATAAATCGATTTATCTACCATTTAAACCTATGGCAAAGGATCGATTATTAGGGTGTTCGCAGCGAACACCCTAGTAATTGATGCCCACTGCTCAAATGGGGAAATATCGATAATCGCGATCGTTCACGCCTCGCGACTGTCCTCTTGCAAACTGTTAACTGCAGTTCATTTATCGTCAAACTTATTAATTAATTTTTACCATTGGAATGCGCCTTCATTTAATCAGTTAGACTCAATGCGTTAATGCCAGGGGATTTTTGCAGGGCTGTAGTACAGTTTTTCTTATGTAATATTTCGTGAAAATTCCAATAACGCTCATTAAAAGTTCAAAAAATCATATCTATTGAGAGAAAAAGCTGGTCAAAATCCGACCAGTCCGATCTTTGGCATTTTCAAAACGGTTTATTTTCTGCCATTTATGGTTTGAAAAAATCTGAAAAATCCTCGGGAGCATAATCCACCCCGAACTCTCAGAAAACGAATGACAAAAGTGGGTTTCATTGACCCATATTCTTTTTATGTTGGGCGAATCTACGAGCACGTACAGCGAGTCTGGAATAAAAATACACGACTTTTCCTATTTAACATGATTGTTATTCATCTGGAATAACCTAAGTAAATCATTCAGTTGCTTACTGATATTTTTGCGAGGTGCGTAATCTTGTTGGTATTGGTCTGCTAATTCAACATTCGAAACGCTGCACTCCAACAGTCAGACTTTGATGCTCTACTTTGGACTAAAACATGCACGAAACCATCGCTGTGTTGGTGTGCTTTGTTTGGCTTCTTTCCTCTTTCCGCTCTTAATGGATTGCAGTAGTAAATCTTTCCTCCTTAGTTCTTTCAAATTGTTACAGATTTGCTTTCTCCTTAAAATTTTTGCAGGAAGAAGCTGATGGTCATTTCCTCTTCCAACCGGGATGTAGGAGTTCCTGCGGGCCCTTCAAGCCACTCTCAGCAGGGAAAAGAGATAAACCTAGTTTTGAAAATGGAACGAAGGTATCTCAACGTCCAACAACTAATTTCTCAATCGGTCATCTTCATACATCCAGACAACATGCACAAAAAAATTTTAATTTTGAAAGCAAGAGAAATTCTCCTATTGCAGAAAGTTTTGAGGTAAGTTTAGCTAAATATTTTACGAGTCTTTTTTCTATTTTTTATCATTTTCATAATGGAGCGCTTTAAGGAAAAGCAAGATTTCAGGGAAAAACTAAAAAAAAAAAAAAAAAAAAAAAAAAAAAAAAAAAAAAAAATTGTACAGGTATTTGCTTCGTTATCATCGAAAATGTTCAGCGTATATGATTTTTGATTCTCTATTTCGCACAAGTGGTGATTTCCACTTGGGAACCCCGGTGGGCATCTCTGGATACACGATGTCATTTTGAAAGTGTTTCGTTTCAAAATGCGCATATTTCAATTTTGATTCGGACCGGAACCGATCAATGAATTTTCGATCATCCAAAAAGTCAAATAATCTAATAAACGAAAAACTCTCCTTCCGCCAGGGTCGGACTGGCTCGCATCTGAGGGCGTAAAGCCTTGGCTGATTACAGGGGCGTAATGTGATATGTCCCGTGCATGGAGAGGGGTGCAGTAAATTTTGGCAAAGTGGCAAAAGTTTACGGTATTTCGAGGTTCACGTTCACATCATTGTCAGCATAAGCGTCATCGCGCCTTCAATTTTTCAGATGCAGCACGGACATCCATAAAGTACGAATAGTTGTATCTCTGCGCCGTCGTTAACGCTCATCTTTTCCCTCGCTCTACTTACATATTGTGTTTGCTTGCGTTTTTCTTACTCGAAGTGGTGCTTCAAGCACAACTTAAGTAACGCAGCCGAAGGTAGGAGTGATGTGTTCGGGCCTCTTTTTTAAACTTTCCTCTCGAATCTGAGCAATAATTCATTAACGGCACATAGCAGAGCATTGAGAGCTCACGCTTCACGTCATCGCGCCTTCAATATTTTAGATGCAGCGCGGACGTCCATCAAGTACGTATAGTTGTATCTCTGCGCCGTCGTTGACACTCATCTTTTCCCTCGCTTTATTTCCATGTTGTGTTTGCTTACGTTTGTCTTATTCGAAGTGGTGCTTCAAGCACTACTTAAGTAACGCAGTCGAAGGTAGGAGAAATGTGTGCGGGCCTCTCTTTTAACTTTCCTCTCGAATCTGAGCGATAATTGGACTGCATTTTGCAATTTGGAACTATAAATTCTGGCTCTTCTGGAAAAGCACTTATGTGCATAGCGAAAGTAATGGCACATACGTTGTTTTTATACCGGGCAAGAATTTATAGTTCCAAATTGCAAAAAGGAGTCCAATTCATTAACAGCACTTAGCAGAGCATGGAGAGCTCACGCTTCGCGTCATCGCGCCTTCAATTTTTCAGACGCAGCACGGACGTCCATCAAGTACGAATAGTTGTATCTCTGCGCCGTCGTTAAAGCTCATCTTTTCCCTCGCTTTATTTCCATGTTGTGTTTGCTTGTGTTTGTCTTATTCGAAGTGGTGCTTCAAACTAGTAGCATAGATATCAAACTAGATAGCAGAGCATTGCGAGTTCACGACTCACGCCGTCGCGTCTTACATTTTTCATATGCAATGTGGACATCCATCTTGCGCAAATAGTTGTTTCGCGTTTACACTTTAGATGCCTTTTCTTTTTGAATTTCGAGATAAATTAAGGTTAAGTTTGCCCGAGATATGCTATGGTATGTCTAAATCAACAGTCATTTTGAAAAGGAAGAAATATGTTTAAAGGTCTCTCATGAGGTCTATTAAGACCGTATGTCCACAAATTGAACCGACCATCGCTTAGAGACCCCATTCCAGTCCTACTAGCCAACCTAGTCCAACCTAACCCACGGCTCACCGAATTATAAAGTTCAGTTCTGTCGGCGGTCAGGATCTCCAGCGGTCCGATTATTGAAATCGATAGACAAAGCTTTGGACAAAGAAGACAAAAGGGATATGGAGGGATCCTGTTGATGGAAGTGGGTGGTTGCAATGGACAAAGGAGGTAGGTAACAGCCTAACTAACGGCAACCCACGCGAGACCCTATAGTTAGTCCATCATTAGGCCTTGTCTCGACGGCGCAAGTGTTGAAGGAAGGGACTGTCTCAAAATTGTTTCTCTTATAAGTGAAACTTTTAAGGTCAGAAACCTGGAACCTCAACAGTTGTTTACCTTTGTGTTCTGAATTGATAAACGCTGCTTACACGTGAAGCGGGAGTTTATTACGGGTGTTTTATTTCTGAGCGGTTATTATTTAAAGATATTTGTACACATTTCAGTATCAATTTTATATTTTCATTTGTAGCATATCACTACAGCAGGAAAATAAAATGTTATCAAATATATTTTCTTTTTATCCATATCTGTGTTATGTAATTGTTTTTTTTTTTATACCTGGTCGAAATAACGCAAAATATTCACCTCCTGTTCATAATTATCAGTTCAGTTACCTCAAATAACATCGTTTAACCCCAAAAAATTAATGTTTTTCAAATGTTCTCGCCTAAAAGGTTCCAGGAACACATGCTTGTACGTGGAGACAGGGAACTTCGGTTGGTGCAACAAACTCGTAACAGTTGCACCTGATTCCCTCAACAGTTGCGCCGTCGAGACAAGACCTTAGCCTATAGGAGCCACCCATTTCAACCAACAGGATCGCTCCACACTCCATATGCCATCTTTATCTATCGTTTATTCTATCAATTTCAATAATCAGCCCGCAGGGCTCAGCTGGAATTAGAGATACGCCCTTACGTTAAAAGAGGGTCGAAACGCGGGGGCATACTCCGCGCTGCATAAAAAGATGGTGTTTGAAG